CCTTGGAATGTTCCTGAAATGTTCCTTGGAATGTTCCTGAGGTGTTCTTGGAGTGTTCCTTGGGATGTTCCTCAAGTGTTCCTGGGAATGTTCCTGAGGTGTTCTTGGGGTGTTCTTTGGAATGTTCCTTGGAATGTTCCTCGGATGTTCCTGAGGTGTTCTTGGAGTGTTCTTTGGAATGTTCCTGAAATGTTCCTTGGGATGTTCCTGGAATGCTCCTCAAATGTTCCTGAGGTGTTCTAGGGTGTTCCTTGGAATGTTCCTTAAGTGTTCCTTGGAATGTTCCTGGGATGTTCCTGAGGTGCTCTCAGGGTGTTCCTTGTGATGTTCCTGGAATGTTCCTTGGGATGTTCCTGGGGTGTTGCTGGAATGTTCCTGGTATGTTGCTGGAATGTTTCTGGCAGTATTTCTTGGAATGTTCCTGAGATGTACCTTGGAGGTGTTGCTGGAATGTTCCTTTGAACGTTCCTGGGGTGTTCCTTGGAATGTTCCTCAAATGTTCCTTGGAATGTTCCTGGGGTGTTGCTGGAATGTTCCTTGGAAATGTTCCTGGGAATATTTCTTGGAATGTTCTTGGGAGTGTTCCCGAGGTGTTCCTTGGGAATGTTCCTGGGATGTTGCTGGAATGTTCTTTAAATATTTCTTGGAATGTTCCTTAAACTGTTCCTGAAATGTTCCTTGGGATGTTCTTGGGGTGTTCCTGGAAATGTTCTTTAAATGTTTCTTGGAGTGTTCCTTTGGAATGTTCCTGAGGTGTTCTTTGGAATGTTCCTAAAATGTTTCTTGGAATGTTGCTAGAATGTTCTTGGGAATGTTCCTGGAAATGTTCCTTGGAATGTTCTTGGGGTGTTCCTGAAATGTTCCTTGGGGTGTTCTTGAAATGTTTCTTGGGATGTTCCTCAAATGTTCCTTGGAATGTTCTTGGAGTGTTGCTGGAATTTTCCTTGGGAATGTCCCTGGGAATGTTTTTTGGGGTGTTCCTGGGAATGTTCCTTGGAATGTCCCTGGAAATGTTCCTTGGAATGTTCCTCAAATGTTCCTTGAAATGTTCTTGGGGTGTTTCTGGAAATGTTCCTGGGGTGTTGCTGGAATGTTTCTTGGAATGTTCTTGGGGTGTTCCCGGAATGTTGCTGAAGTGTTCCTTAGAAATGTTCCTGGGAATGTTCTCGTGGTACTCCTGAGGTGTTCTTGGGGTGTTCCTGGAATGTTCCTTGGGGGTGTTGTTAGAAATATTCCTTGGGATGTTCCTTGGGTGTTGCTGGAATGTTCTTGGAATGTTCCTGGGGGTTCAGCCCCGCCCCCAGCCCAGATCTGGTGGATTTGGGAAGTTTCCTGAAAATACTGAAATGTGCTCTGGGAGATGAAGGAATTCCTGAAACCCATCAAAAACTGGCCTTGGATGGGAGAAATTCCTAAAAACACCCAAAAAATGATCTCAGATCTGAGAAATTCCTAAAAACACCCAAAAAGTGGTCTTGGATGGGAGAGAATTCCTAAAAATACCCAAAAAATGGTCTCAGATCTGAGAAATTCCTAAAAACACACAAAAAATGGTCTCAGATCTGAGAAATTCCTAAAAACACCCAAAAAGTGGTCTTGGATGGGAGAGAATTCCTAAAAATACCAAAAAAAATGGTCTCGGATGTGAGAAATTCCTAAAAACACCCAAAAAATGGTCTGGGGATTCCTGAAATCCTGAGTATGGGTTCAGGGATGTGAGAAAGTCTAAAATTGCTGAAATTGGGTCTGGGGAGTGAGAGAATTCCAAAAAGCATCAAAAATGGTCTTGGATTTGAAGTGGGGTGAGGGAATTCCTAAAAAACCCTGAGGAAGTGGTCTGGGAAGGGAGAGAATTCCTAAAAATGACCAAAAATGGTCCTTGAAGGAGAGAAACGGTGAAGAATTGATAAAAAAAACTCAAAAATAACGAGGTGGAAGTGGGGAAATCCCTAAACCCCCCCCAAAACAAGAACGGAAGAGGGGAATTCCTCCAACTCACCCAAATCAGCTCTTGGAAGTCAGAGAATTCCTAATAAATAATCATCTCGGAGTGGAACCAGGCTGTGGAAACTCCTAAAACCCACCAGAAATTCCTAAAAACGCCCCAAATCGGGTCTTGGAGAGAATTCCTAAAAGCAAAGCTCGAGGACGCCAAATGCACTGAGAGAATTCCTAAAAAACCACCAAAATCGGGTCTTGGAAGTGAGAGAATTCCCAAAATGTGTCCTTGGAGTGTGTCCATGCTGCTGAATTCCCAAAAACCACCGGGATGGTGCCTTGGGAATGGCAGAATTCCCAGAAATTAAAAATATCCTTGGAGTGGAACCACAGAATTCCCAAAAAACCATCGGGATTGGGTCTTGGAAGGTGCAGGAAGTTGGTGAAATTCGCCCAAATTGTGCCTTGGAAGTGCCAGAATTCCCAGGAAATGCTCTTGGGTTGTGCAGATGTTGAGAGAATTCCTAAATTCACCCAAATTGTGCCTTGGAAATGACAGAATTCCTGAAAAATGCTCTTGGGTTGTGTTGATGTTGAGAGAATTCCTCAAACTTACCCAAATTGTGCCTTGGAAATGGGAAAATTCCTAAAAAATATTCCTGGGATGTGTCCGTGTTGCTGAAATTCCTAAAATCCACCCAAACTGTGCCTTGGAAATGAGAGAATTCCTAAAAAATACTCTTGGGATGTGTCCGTGTTGCTGAAATTCCCAAAAACCACCAGGTTTGTGCCTTGGAAATGGGGGAATTCCCATGAAATGCTCCTGGGTTGTGTTGATGTTGAGAAAATTCCTCAAACTTACCCAAATTGTGCCTTGGAAATGAGAGAATTCCTAAGGAATATTCCTGGCTTGTGCTGATGTTGCGAGAATTCCTAAATTTGCCCAAATTGTGCCTTGGAAATGACAGAATTCCTAAGGAATATTCTTGGATGTGTCCATGTTGAGAGAGTTCCCAAAAACCACCGAGTTTTGTGCCTTGGAAATGAGGGAATTCCTAAGAAATGTTCTCAGGATGTGTCCATGGTGCAGAGTTCCTAAAAACATCTGGATTTTTGCCTTGGAAATGCCAAAATTCCCAGGAAATGCTCTTGGATTGTGTTGATGTTGGAAGAATTCCTAAATTCACCCAAGTTGTGCCTTGGAAATGAGAGAATTCCTAAAAAATGTTCCTGGAATGTATCCATGTTGAGAGAATTCCCAAAAACCACCGAGTTTTGTGCCTTGGAAATGAGAGAGTTCCTAAAAAAATGTTCTCGGGATGTGTCCACGGTGCAGAATTCCTAAAAACATCTGGATTTGTGCCTTGGAAGTGCCAGAATTCCCATGAAAATCTCTTGAGTTGTGTTGATGTTGAGAGAATTCCTAAAATTCACCCAAACTGTGCCTTGGAAATGCCAGAATTCCCAGGAAATGCTGTTGGGTTGTGTTGATGAATTCCTAAAAACCACCGGGTTTTGTGTCTTGGAAATGAGAGAATTCCTAAAAAATTTTCTTGGGATGTGTCCATGTGGCTGAAATCCTAAAAAAACACCGGGTTTGTGCCTTGGAAATGAGAGAATTCCCAGGAAACGCTGTTGGGTGGTGTCAGTGTTGACAGAATTCCTAAATTTGCTCAAATTGTGCCTTGGAAATGGCAAAATTCCCATGAAAATTCTCTTGGGTTGTGTTGATGTTGAAAGAATTCCTAAAAAAACACCGAGTTTTGTGCCTTGGAAATGCCAAAATTCCCAGGAAATGCTCTTGGGATGTGTTGATGTTGACAAAATTCCCCAAAAACCATCAAGTTTTGTGCCTTGGAAATTTGAGAATTCCTTAAAGTGCTCTTGGGAACGTGTTGATGTTGCTGAAATTCCTAAAAGCCACCGGGTTTTTGCCTTGGAAATGAGAGAATTCCTTAAAATGTTCCTGGGATGTGTCCGTGGTGCAGAATTCCTAAAAACCACCGAGTTTTGTGCCTTGGAAATCAGAGAATTCCTAAGGAATGTTCTTGAGATGTGTCCATGTTGCTGAAAATTCCCAAAAATCCACCCAAACTGTGCCATGGAAATGAGAGAATTCCTAAAAAATGTTCCTTGGATGTGTTGCATGTTGCTGAAATTCCCAAAAACCACCGGGTTTGAGCATTGGAATTCCCATGAAAATCTCTTGGATTGTGTTGATGGTGAAAGAATTCCTAAAATTCACCCAAACTGCGCCTTGGAATTGCCAGAATTCCCAGGAAATGCTCACCCAAATCAGAGAATTCCTAAGAAATTCTCTTGGGATGTGTCCATGTTGCTGAAATCCCCCAAAATCCACCCAAATTGTGCCTTGGAAATGAGAGAATTCCTAGAAAATATTTTTGGGATGTGTCCGTGTCGCTGAAATTCCCAAAAACCACCGGGTTTGTGCCTTGGAAATTTGAGAATTCCCACAAACCGTCCCCAAATCCCAGCGGAGGAGGCTCCGCATTTCGCCTTCCCTTTTTTGGGATGAGTTTGGGTTTTTTTGGGAATTTTTGGGTGTTGGGTGTGTCCCTCGCCGGGAGGTCCCACAGCCGCTGCTCGTGGTGGTTTTTGGGGCTTTTCCCAAGGTTCTGGAATTTTCTCTCCCGGATTTTTTGGGAGTTTTTTGCCCCCACCCCGTGTGGTGTGAGGAAGAGGAGGAGGAGGAGGAGGCGAGGCTGAATCAGAGCCGGCGAAGGCCAAAACCCCCCCCCGACCCCCCAATTTTTGGGAAGGACCCTTGGGATCCCCAAAATTTGGGAAGAACCCCCCAATTTTTGGGAAGGACCCTTGGAACCCCCAAAATTTGGGAAGAACCCCCCAAATTTGGGAAGAACCCCCCAATTTTTGGGCAGGATCCCCCAAATTTTGGGCAGGACCCCCTGGCCCAGGTGAGCCCTGGCCACGCCCCCCCAGTGACCCCAAAGCCCCGGGGGTGGCTCCAGGGGGGAGTGGGGGTAGGGCGGGTCCCAGGTGAGCTCAGGTGAGCTCAGGTGTGGTCAGATGAGCCCAGGTGTGCCCAGGTGAGCTCAGGTGTGCCCAGGTGTGCCCAGGTGAGCTCAGGTGTGCCCAGATGAGCCCAGGTGTGCTCAGGTGTTCCCAGGTGTGGTCAGATGAGCCCAGGTAAAGCCAGGTGTGCCCAGGTGAGCTCAGGTGTGCCCAGGTGTGCCCAGGTAAAGCCAGGTGTGCCCAGGTGTGCCCAGGTGAGCTCAGGTGTGCCCAGGTGTGGTCAGATGAGCCCAGGTAAAGCCAGGTGTGCCCAGGTGAGCCCAGGTGTGCTCAGGTGTGCCCAGGTGAGCTCAGGTGTGCCCAGGCTGCCTTACCTGCCCCGCTCAGGTTGGGGTTGGTGTAGTCCCAGGTGTCCTGGTCGTTCTTGAACACGTTCAGGCGGCTGGGCTGGGGGAGGGGCACGGGGGGGTTGGCACCTGCCCACCTGTGCCCAGGTACCTCCAGGGGTGTCCCCAGGTACCCCCAGGTGTGCCCAGGTACACTCCCAGGTGTGCCAGGTGTCCCCGCTTGTCCCAGGTGTATCCCCAGGTGTGCCCACCCACACGTCCCATCCCCAGCTGTGCCCAGGTGTTCCCAGGTGTGCCCAGGTGTTCCCACATGTTCCAGGTGTATCCCCAGGTGTGCCCAGGTATATCCCCAAGTGTGCCCAGATGTTCCATATGTCCCAGGTGTGCCCAGGTGTATCCCCAGGTGTTCCTGGGTGTATTCCCAGGTGATCCCAGGTGTCCCCACATGTCCCAGGTGTGCCCAGGTGTATCCCCAGATGTCCCCACATGTCCCAGGTGCCCCCAGGTGTTCCAAGGTGTATCCCCAGGTGCCCCCACATGTTCCAGGTGTATCCCCAGGTGTTCCCAGGTGTATCCCCACGTGTTCCCAGGTGTCCCCAACATGTCCCAGGTGTGCCCAGGTGTCCCCACATGTCCCAGGTGTTCCCACATGTCCCAGGTGTATCCCCAGGTGTTCCCAGGTGTCCCCAACATGTCCCAGGTGTGCCCCCAGGTGTCCTCACATGTCCCAGGTGCCCCCAGGTGTTCCCAGGTGTATCCCCAGGTGCCCCCACGTGTCCCAGGTGTATCCCCAGGTGTGCCCAGGTGTGTCCCCACATGTCCCAGGTGTTCCCAGGTGTATCCCCAGGTGCCCCCACGTGTTCCAGGTGTATCCCCAGGTGTGCCCAGGTGTGCCCAGGTGCGCCCACCTTGGCGTACTCGATCTTGAGGGTGCAGCAGCCCGAGTAGATGTCGGCGCCGTTGAGCGAGGCCTTGGCGCGCTGCGCGCTCTGCACCGAGTCGAACGTGCGCCCGTCAAGGAATTCCAGCGGGATTCCGGGAATTTGGGAAATTCCCAAAAGGATTTGGGAAATTTGGGGAACTCCCAATGGGATTTGGGGAACTCCAATGGGATTGGGAATTCCCAACTGGATTTGGGGAATTTGGAGAATCCCCAAGGGGGTTTGGGAATGGGGGAATTCCTGACAGGATCTGGGGAATTCCCGACAGGATTTCGAGAATCCCTGATGGGATCTGGGGAATTCCTGATGGGATTTCGGGAATCCCTGACAGGATTTGGAGAATTCCCGATGGGATTTGGGGAATTCCTGACGGGATTTGGAGAAATCCTGATGGGATTTGGGGAATTCCAGATGGGATTTGAGGAATTTTGAGATCTCAGAGCGCCTGAGCCAGGTGGGGCCACCGGAGCGGTTCCGGGGAGCTCGAGTCCCTTGGATCCCCGTTCCCGGGGGGAATTAAGGGCACTGGGATTTCAGGGAGCCTCCCCAGCCCCAAAACCCCAAAAAAGCCCCAAAAAACCCCAAAAAGCCCCAAAAGCCCCGCAGACATTGGATATTCCACCATGGCCTGCACGCCGTTCTTGCGGAAGATGACGATGCGCTGCACCGGCCCGCAGGGGTTGCAGATGGTGTAGAGCACGTCCTGGGGGGAGCGGGGGGTCAGGGGCGCCCCGAAACCCAAAATCCAACCCGGGACCCCGAAATCCAACCCGGGAGCCCAAAATCCAACCTGGGAACCCAAAAAACCCAACCCAGGATCCAAAGAAACTGAACCTGGGAGCCCAAAACACAACCTGGGACCCCAAAACCCAAAATCCAACCCAGTAAACCCCAGTAAACCCCAATAAAACTCCAGTAAGCCCAAATAAATCCCAGTAAATCCCAATAAAACCCCAATAAAACTCCAGTAAACCCCAGTAAAACTCCGCTGACCATAGTGATGGAGTAGATGGGGTTGAGGATGGTGAAGAGCAGCACGGGTTGGTGGCCCCAAACCCCAATAAAACCCAATAAAACCCAATAAAACCCAATAAAACCCAAAAAACCACAATAAAACCCCAGTAAAACCCTGCTGACCGTGGTGATGGAGTAGATGGGGTTGAGGATGGTGAAGAGCAGCACGTTGTTGACGCCGCGCGCGTCGTCGCTGTCGCCGGGCCGCGAGATCTTCTGGCTGGTGGAGTAGTTGACGAAGGCGGGGTGGCCGGCGAAGTAGATCTGGTTGTCGGCCGCGTAGTTGACGGCGTTGCAGGCGCCCAGGATGTCCTCGAACTCCACCAGGGCCTGACGCTTCTTCGGCATCACCACCACGTAGCTGGGACAGGGGACACGGTCACCATGGTGGCATTGTTCCATGGTGTCACCACCCTGTGGTGTCACCAATCCCAGACATCACCACCACGTAGCTGGGACAGGGGACACGGTCACCGTGGTGGCATTGTTCCATGGTGTCACCACCCTATGGTGTCACCAACCCCTGATGTCATCACCATGTAGATGGGACAGTGGGGACACGGTCACCATGGTGGCATCACCCCATGGTGTCACCAATCCCAGACACCACCACCACGTAGCTGGGACAGGGGACACGGTCACCGTGGTGGCATCACCCCGTGGTGTCACCAATCCCAGACATCACCACCACGTAGCTGGGACAGGGGACACGGTCACCATGGTGGCATTGTTCCATGGTGTCACCACCCCATGGTGTCACCAATCCCAGACATCACCACCACGTAGCTGGGACAGGGGACACGGTCACCATGGTGGTATCACCCCATGGTGTCACCAACCCCTGACATCAGCTGTCCCACAGGGGACACGGTCAGCATGGTGGCATCACCCTGTGGTGGCTTCACTTCATGGTGTCACCACCACGTAGCTGGGACAGGGGACACGGTCACCATGGTGGCATCACCCCGTGGTGTCATTGTTCCATGGTGTCACCACCCCTTGGTGTCACCAACCCCACACTGTCCCCGGTGTCCCCACCTGATGGGCCCGAACTCCTGCAGCGCCTCCACCAGGTCGGCCTCCACGATGCCGTCGATGAGGCCGCGGATGTGAACCACGGGCGACGCCGGCGTCTTGTGGGGGTCCTCGTAGTTCTCCTGGGGACACCGAGGGCTTGGGGACGTCCCCTCTGGGTTTGGGGACACCACCGCTGGGTTTGGGACATCCCTGAGGGGCTGGGTACACCTCTGAGGGTCTGGGGACACCCCTGTGGGGTTTGGGGACACCCCTGATGGGATTGGGGACATCCCTGATGGGTTTGAGGACACCCCTGATGGATTTGGGGACACCCCTGATGGATTTGGGGACACCCCTGATGGGATTGGGACATCCCTGATGGGTTTGGGGACACCCCTGATGGATTTGGGGACACCCCTGATGGGTTTGGGGACACCCCTGAGGGTTTGGGACATCCCTGATGGATTTGGGGACACCCCTGATGGGTTTGGGGACACCCCTGAGGGTTTGGGACATCCCTGATGGGATTTGGGACACCCCTGATGGGTTTGGGGACACCCCTGAGGGTTTGGGGACACCCCTGAGGGTTTGGGGACATAGAGAATTTGGGGACATTGAGAATTTGGGGACATTGAATTTGGGGACATTGAGGGTTTGGTGACACCCCCCGACCCCACAGCTCTGGGGTCAGGCCAAGGTAAAACGGGACCCCTGCACCAATTAAATTTTAATTTCCTTAAAAACGAGCGTTTTACCCAAAATCTTCTCTCCCCCTCACTTTTTACCCCCAAGATTTGCTCCCTCAGCGCTGATCCTTTCCTCTCGCTCACCATTTTCCTCAATATTTATCCCCTCAGAGACTTTTTATTCTCCCTCACTATTAATCCCCCAATATTTAACCCCTCAAGACTTTTAATTCTAATTAATCCCCCAATATTTAACCCCTCAAAAACCCACAATTTTTACCCAAACTCAATATTTACCTCCCTCAAATGGAATCTTTTACCCTCACTCAGTATTTACCCCCAAAAAACTTTTTCCTCTCTTTCTGTACTTACTCCCCAATATTTGCTCCTTCAGAAAACATTTACCTTATTGTTTATTTATTTATTTATACCCAATATTTATTTACCCCTCAAACAAGATCTCTTCCCCTCTCAGCCCTTCCTGCCATATTTATCCCCTCAGAACCCCCTCCCCACATTTTTCCCCCTCACAAAAATCTCTTTTTCTTTTACCCATCACACAAAATCTTTTCTTTCCCCCCCTCACACAAATCTTTTCTTTCCTCCCTCATACAAATCTTTACTTCCCCCCTCATAAAATCTCTTTTCTTTCCTCCCTCACACAAATCTTTTCTTTCCTCCCTCATGCAAATCTTTACTTCCCCCCCATAAAATCTCTTTTCTTCCCCCCCCCCACAAAATCATTACTTTTCCCCCCCTCATAAAATCTCTTTTCTTTCCTCCCTCACACAAATCTTTTCTTTGCCCCCCCTCACACAAATCTCTTTCCTCCCATAAATTCCTCTTTTCCCTTTTTATCTCTCATGAGTTTCCTACACCCCCTCAGCCCTTCCCGCCGTTTTTACCCCCTCACAAAAACTGTTACCCCTCACAAAAACTCTTTTACCCCTCAGCCCTTCCCGCCATTTTTGCCCCCTCACAAAAACTCTGTTACCCCTCAGCCCTTCCCACCATTTCTACCCCCTCACAAAAACTCTGTTACCCCTCAGCCTTCCCGCCCCCTCACAAAAACTGTTACCCCTCAGCCTTCCCGCCCCTCACAAAAGCCCTTTTCCCGGCCCAAGGCGCTGTCCCAGCGCCGCTCCCCACCCCGACCCCTTCCCCGCTCTCACCGCTCCTCCCGCTCCGGCTCCGCCGCCCGCGCCCCCCGGCCCGCCGGGCCCGTGAGGCGGCGCCTCGGCGCTCTCGGTTTTCAGGCGTTTAGGGGCCCTGCCGCCCTCACCGCCGCCACCGCCACCGTAATATCGGCCCGAGCCGCCGCCGCCGCCGCCCGTCGCCATCTTCCCCATGTCGGCTCCGCGCCCGCCACTCTCGGCGCCCTGAGGCCCTCGCCACCGCCGCCTCGACATGGCGCCCAGCTCCGCCGGCCCGCCCACGACACGCCCCCATTGGCCCGCCCACGCGTCAATCAAGGCGATCCGGGCATCCCATTGGTTGAGATCGTTCCCGCCACACCCGCCGCGCCGCGCGCCGTTGTGATTCGCTGGGCCACCACGCGTCTATTGGTCCGCTGAGCTGCCCATCAGCGCCTTCCTGGGAACACCATTGGTCGCCGCGCGCAACGGTCCGCCCGCCCACCGCGCTGATTGGAGGAGCGGCTGCCTGTCAGGGCGAGGCCACGCCCTTCTTCTTGTCCGACCCGCAGATCCCGCCTCCCTCCTCCCACAGCGCTCCATTGCCGCCACAAGACGTCGTTCACCATCACCCGGCCGCCATTGGCTCGTCTCGAGGAGCCTCGGCCTCTGCCCTCGCCCACCGGGCATGCCGCTCGCTCATTGGCTGAGCTGCACGTCCATCAACGCCCACGCCCCCAGCGGCGCGCTCTGATTGGTCGATTTGCTGAGGCTTTCCCTTGGGATTGGTCGGCGCGTATGGGACGTTCCCGGCTCCTCAGAGTTGCTGCGGGAGCTACTGGGAGGCCACTGGGGTTAACTGGGAGGGAACTGGGAGGGCACTGGGGCTAACTGGGAGGGAACTGGGAGGGCACTGGGGTTAACTGGGAGCCCTGGGCCTTCCTCCTCCCGTCCGCACGGCGGCGCCCTCCCTGCTCACCTCACCCCAACCCCGCCCCCTTCCACGCTCATTGGCTACACACCCCCGTCTCCAACCAATCACCGCTCTCCTCTCATTCCCGCCACTCGCCACCCAATCATCTCCGCCCTTTCATACGCGCCGGTCACATCTGCGCGCCTTTTTTTGCTGGGGAGCGCGTCGACCAATCAGCGCGAGGCGCGGGTCTCTCAGCCAATCAGGAGAGAGGGGGCGGGGCTTCGTCGTGAGGGGAATTCGGGGGTCCCGGAGCCCCCCAAGGAACGAAACGGCCCCAAAATGACCCAAAATGTCCCAAAAATGCCCCAAACCGCCTCCCTCCGGCTCCAGCACTTTATTGAACAACATCTTGGGGTTCATATTTTGGGGAAGGGGCTCAGCCCCCCCCCGGTTCTGCCCAAAAAGGGGGTGAGGGGAATGGGGGGGGGTTTTCATCAAACCCCCCCACAAAAAACCCTTTGAGGTCGTTAAACTGCCAGAAATGGGGAAATGGGAGCTAAAAGGGGGATTTGGGGTGGTCTGAGGGGGGTTTGGGGCTCCCACATCGAGAATCCCCCAAAAATGCAACCAATTGGAAGAGAAAATGGGAATAAATGAGGATTTTGGGGATGTCAGAGAGCATCAACGCCCCCCAAAACCCCTTTTAAACATTTAACCGCCCCTAAAAAGCCATTTCAACCCCCAAAAACGCAATAAAATAAGAGAAATAAGGAGAACGAACGGGATTTGGGGAGATTTTGGAGTGGGGTCTTAATGTGGGGAACTGAATAATCTTCGAACAGTTTTGGATGGGGTTCCATCCAAAAAAAAAAAAAACCAAAATAAACCACTTTAAACTTTGGAAACGGCCAAAAAACACGGAAAAAAGGACAGAAAAAGGCGGGAAAAACACAAAAAAAAAGGCGGAAAAAATGGGAATAAAGAGGAAAAGGAGGAATTTGTTGTGTTTCAGACGATCATCTCCAGCTGCCGGGCGTACTCGATCACCTGCGTGGCCAGCTCCGTCGAGGGGATCGGGGGGTCCTCGGCTTTCTGCTGCCGCCCCCCAAAACTGTAATAGTTGGAGGGACCCAGCACCCAGCCCCGCTGGGGGAGAAAAGGGGAAAAAAAGGGATAAAAATGGGTTTGGGGTGGGTATTGAGGGGTTTGGGGTGGGTATTGAGGGGTTTAGGGGGGATTTTGGGGGGTTTAGGGAATTTGAGGTGGGTATTGAGGGGTTATGGGGGGATTTTGGGGGATTGGAGGGGGGTTTGGGGAATTTGGGGGGATTTTGGGTGGGTATTGGGGGGTTTAGGGTGGGTATTGAGGGGTTATGGGGGGATTTTGGGGGATTGGAGGGGGGTTTGGGGAATTTGGGGGGATTTTGGGTGGGTATGGGGGGGTTTGGGGTGGGTATTGAGGGGTTAAGGGGGGATTTAAAGGGGTTTGGGGCAAATATTGGGGGGATTTTGGAGGATTGGAGGGGGGTTTAAGGAATTTGGGGGGGATTTGGGGTGGGTATTGAGGGGTTTAGGGAGGATTTAAAGGGGTTTGGGGCAAATATTGGGGGGATTTTGGAGGATTGGAGGGGGGTTTAAGGAATTTGGGGGGGATTTAGGGTGGATATTGGGGGTTTTAGAGGGGATTTGTGGGGGATTTGGGGGCTCTCGGGGTGTTTTGGGGTATATCTGGGTGTTTCACAGTTTTGGGGTGTTTCACACCATTTTGGGGAGTTTCTGACCATTTTGGGGGTGTTTCTCACTAATTTTGGGGTTTTTCAGACCGATTTTGGGGTGTTTCTACCCAATTTTGGGGTGTTTCAGGCCGTTTCTGGGGCGCCCCGTACCTTCTTGGCGTAGTCGGTCATCTTGCGGGGCGAGCTGAAGAAGAGGATCCGCGCCGCCTCGGGGAACAGGATCCGCTCGTAGGCGGCCTCGATGCAGCCCGCGATCTCGTCCCTGGGGGATTTGGGGGCATTTTAGGGCAATTTCGGGATTTCAGGGGGATTTTGGGGGGTCTCAGGGGGATTTTGGGGGGTTTCAGGGGGATTTTAGGGGGATTTTTGGGGGCATTATCAGGGGATTTTTGGGGGGTTTGCAGCCTGCGATCTTGTCCCTGGGAGGGAATTTTGGGGCATTTTAGGGTAATTTAGGGATTTTAGGGGGTCTCAGGGGGATTTGGGGGATTTTGGGGGGTTTCGGGGGCATATTGAGGAGTTTAAGAGGGAAACTGGGGGATTTTTTTGGGATTTCAGGGAGGGTTCAGGGTGATTTTGGGGAGTTTGAGGGAAAAATTGGGGGTCTGAGGGGGGTTTAGGGGATTTTGTGGGGTTTTGAGGGGATTTTAGGGGAGTTTGTGGGTCAGAGGGGATTTTGGGGTGATTTTGGGGGATTTTGGGCTGCCTGACCGGATGGTGTCCAGCAGGATGTCGATGAAGAAGGGTTAGCTCTGCCCAGTGAGGGGTTTGGGGTGGTTTTGGGGCAGTTTTGGGGATATTTCAGGGGGGATTTGGGGTTTTTGGGTTCCAGGGGAATTTTGGATGGATTTTGGGGTGATTTTGGGTGATTTTGGGGTGATTTTGGATGGATTTTGGGGTGATTTTGGGGGATTTTGGGCTGCCTGACCGGATGGTGTCCAGCAGGATGTCGATGAAGAAGGTGTAGCTCTCTGCTGGGATGTTGCCCTTGGCCAGGAACACTTTGTTGTAGCTGCCCTCCATCAGGTACTGGGGACAAAAAACGGGATAAATAACCCCAAAAATCCCACAAATCACCACAAATCCCCCCAAAACCCCATAAATGACCACAAAAATCCCATAAATGACTACAAAAACCCCATAAATCACCCCAAATCCCCCAGACCTGCTCCAGGGACACGGGGTGCCAGATGAAGAGGTTCCCCTGATCCCAAATCCCCATAAATCACCCCAAAATCCCATAAATTCCCCCCAGACCTGCTCCAGGGACACGGGGTGCCGGATGAAGAGGTTCCCCTGATCCCAAATCATCCCAAAATCCCATAAATTCCCCCCAGACCTGCTCCAGGGACACGGGGTGCCGGATGAAGAGGTTCCCCTGATCCCAAATTCCCCATAAATCACCCCAAAATCCCATAAATTCCC